AAGTGAGTGGGTTGCTGTGGGTTCGTCTGAGTCTGGCCTGAGTCACAGAACCAGCAGAGACCGAGGCCTGCCAGGCCCCCGAACCGGTTCCCTCGCCACTGCTGGGCCGCTGCCATTTTGGATTTTGGTGACTGCATGTGCGCAGAACAATTTCCATTAAACAGCACACGCGTCTGGCGTTGGGGGGGGGGGGGGGATTTGCGAACTGGTAGTAAAACCGTCAGCAACCCACCCCTGAAGTGAGATGTGACCTTTGCTAAATTGCTTTCTGGATGACAGTTTTCAAAAGCAGGATAATGACCTCATGGGCTTAGGACAAAATCTGCATACGTCCCTGGAGGTTGAAGGATGCCACTATGCTGTCTTCTAATCAAGATCATCCCCTCCTTGGGAGAGCTACGTCCTCCGGTGGCCTCCTTTGCTAGGCTGGCTTGAGATAAATATTTTCCTCCCAGGGGGCAAAGTTGCTCCCCAACTAATGCAGCCTGATACAACTAACCCAACACCCTGCACTAACCCCCCCCCCTTGGCTTCTGCTCATCTCCCATAACAGCATGGGTGTTTTCAGCCTTCCCTGACATAAGACCCAGAATCAGGAGGCCTCTGCTCTCTTGTGACATACGGCAAGACTCTGCGTGTCATCCGGGTTTTAGATAAATGATAAATGCAAACATTGCAGCATTGGAAGCCAAGCTCACCAGTTGGAGTTTCAAAGGCCTCATTCTGCTTTGGTGGCAAAATGCAGAGAAAGAGAGGTGGTGGTTGATGGGAAGGAAGGAAGGAAGGAAGGAAGGAGAAGAAGGGAGAGTGGGAGGTAGGGAGGGAAGGAAGGAAGGGAGGGAGAGATGGGAGGAAGGTATGGAAGGAGGGAAGGAAGGAGGGGGGGGGAGAAATTCCAGATGAAATGAAGGAAAAACAGGACTTTAAAAAAGCTCCCGGGAGGCCAACTGAGGAAGAAAGAGGAAGGCTGTTCTAGAATGAAAAGTCGTCCATATATAAAAGAAGGAAAACAAAGGAACAGCAACAATTTCCATCAACTAAAAGTGTCTTTTCCCATAATTTCCCCCCATTACGAAGCTCCTCGCGCTGAAAAGAGGCTCCACCGAGCTGTTTCTTCACCAGTGTGAGGTCTGAGCTGCTCTTCCTTTTCTTTTCCTTCCCCTTTTCTTTTTTAGGAAAACCTGAAAAGTCGGATGGCTTTGAAACTATTTTTTTTTTTTTTGCAATTTGGGGTCACGACTCCCAAGAAACAGCTCCCAAGCCCCCCCCCTCTTCTGAGCCCCCCCCTCTTCTGAGCCTTCGTCTTCTGAGCTTTGTTTTCCTGTTATTCCATCTGCATATTTTTAATGAGTTGCTCCTGTTAGTTGCTTTCAGTTGCCAGAAAAAGCAGAGAAGAAATTCATTTTAAAATGCAATCTCCCCCCCCCCCCGCTTAACTATGGCATCTATCTGATGGTCTGTCTATACATCCTCTCCCTCTCCCTCTCTCCCTGTCTCACACACACTCTCCATCCATCCATCCATCCAATCTTTCTCTCCTTCTCCCCTTTATCTATCTATCTATCTATCTATCTATCTATCTATCTATCTATCTATCTATCTATCTATCTATCTATCTATCTATCTATCTAACTAACTAACTAA